CCTACCACCAAAGTTGAGTGGCGGGGCTCGAACCTCGGACCATAGGGTCCAAAGTACGCCGGTGACAGTGATAAGTGATATAGACTGGTATTAATAGAATAGTGAGTAGATGCACGAACGCCACTGTTTGCAACACGCAGCAGTATCACTCAGTGTGTCCCTAACCACCGTTTACCATGATCTCGTTATCCCATCCGGGGAGCCTAACGAGATCTATGTGACCCAGTGTCCTGGTTCGGGTTTTCATACCCTCATGCCAAGTCTTATTTTGACCACCCTTGACCTTTTTCCAATCGCTACCTACTTCGGCAAACATCGCTCACCGTAGAAACCTATTTGGTGACATGTGTAACACATGTCATAACCAACGTAATTTATGGAGGTCAACCACTTGTTCCAGTGGACGACCGCGATTACCTAAAACTTTGTTTAACCTCAGTATTGCTCGTCCGGTTTCCCTATCGGACTCGTGCAATGCGACATAGACAGCGGTGTTCGAACACCGACAATCGATTTTTATTCTGTTCGCGTAATGGCCAAGTCTCTTCATCGTAGAGCCGGGATGAATGACTAGATAGTTCTAACTGATAATTGGCTTGTCCTAGCTGATGGTAAAAAGGAACACAAACTTACGAATAACCCTACCTACGACGAAATACTGCAACGGGTGGAAATTAAATAACTGATCCACAAAAGTCGCTGTATAGAACTTCACCTTGGTTACGCAAAACAGGTAATGCTGCGATATTTTTTTTTACAAATATCCCTGCGGTTGACCACGGTACTCACTCTTATCTCGAAATCCATCCAAACAGAGAGGGATAAGGTGATCGGTGAGCGAGATCAACGCATGCGTCAAAGTGGTCCAAAATCGTTGTTGCGTGATCAGAAGACGACTGGCACTGGAATCTGGATTTCCTGTGGAGCTAGATTGGACATCTGTTTCCAGCATTCCGGATACCAAGCTGAACTGTAGTTCCACAAGTTCCAAGACCTGCCGCGTTGATGACGAGGAAGAAAACAGTGCACGTGACAATCAACAGAGATAATCAATCTAACCCTTGGGACTTTGTCAATTAAAAATTCACGAAGTAAATTTCTATTGCAGTAAAAAAACGTCAATCGATTGGGCAATTCATGAAAATTGAGCGTGGAAGTTTCACCGACAAATGTCAAAACAGGGATGTACTGGATACCGGCCCCCAATGGATTGTAGTTTTCATATAACGCCCCGCTGCTTTGCGCATCAAGCTTTCACTAACCGAAGACTCCGGTTGTGGATTCATCATGAAAATTCACCTGCCTTGGCCCCGGGTCAACCTGGCAATGTTCCGCTTACAAACAAATAAAGATTATTGTACCACGAATTCTTCGTTACACAATCTGGCCTCAGTGTGACTGTGTGAAATACAATGGTGCAACATTTGAGCACCTTAGAGTATGGACATGGTCAAACATATCTTGAGAAAGGTTACCTACGGTAACCGAAACGTCGGCGAATACAATTCTCTACCGGCATTATAACATTCACAATAAAACAACGCATGGCGCATCGATTTTTTGTTACAATCCTAACATCGTTTGGTCCTGATATAATGAACATTTTCACCTATTCCAGCGAAAAAATACGCATCCCATAGCATAAACGAATCACCATCGAACACTCCCGAACTGAAGTACTTCGGTTGTTTGCGGAAGTCCTGTCAGTGGTAGGAAAAGCTGTCCGGGGTAGTCCAAATTGAACCTCTTCCCACGGGTGAATACCACTATGTTTCACAGGTCAATCTTTGTAACGTGCTTTGCCATTCGTCTGGACTGCTAAATTGTATCAGTTATCAGTCAATCGTGAATGTTTCATCAACTTCCAGTTGTTGACTCCACCGAGAAAAGATTTTCAGATTTATTAAGGTCTTCAATTTGGCTGCACTGATTTGAAAACTTATCGTACCAACTATTCGTTGGTACGTTTCAACAGAGTCGGATTGTCTTTCTCTTGGGCCAGGTCCTTGTTTTTGACTGCACTTTCACAGTAGTTGCTCTGCTGTTGACAAGTGACTGTTCAATCTTCTCACAGTTAGCGTTCCACGGTCTTTTATTTGCCTTCCGAAACAAAAGTTTGCTCTCTTCAAGGCTCGGACAACGGTTTCTCACGTGTCATGATCGGCATTACGAGAGTGTGGTGGGCTTCAGGCTGGTCACCTGGTTCCTGTTTAAAAGCCACATAAACCTAATTACGATGTCGTGACAAAGGTCAATGTGACTGGCCTTTTAAAACCAGGGTCATTTAGCCCTTCACTTCCGAAGCGAGGGATTACTTCCTGCTGCCTTGCAGTTCGTACTTGTTTGTGCAAAGGTTAGAGGTGCGAGCTCAAAATAAAAAAAAACGCCTAGAGACGCTGGGGACGTCTCTCGTACCAAACTCCCCAGGAACTTCATGAGCAAGATCATGTCTGGAGCCGGCTTATCCTTTCCAATGAGCCAGCCGCAGTAAAGTAAAGTAAGTAAGTTGCTACGATCAGAGTTGTGTCACAGATGCACGTGATTTTTCCCGAGAGTGTTGAGCTCAAAAGTACATTGCTATCCGTTTCACCAAACTTATTTGCTAAACTCGGAGAGGTTGATTCCTTTTTCATTTCAACATAGAACTGCTAAATGTGCCACAACATAATAACCTATAGAGTGTATTCATAGGTTGCCCCTACGGAGAAAGGGGGATAACCTAGGGGTCGCCAGTCGAAACCTTTGGCTAGAAAGACAGATCAGAAAAACAACCGGACGGAGCTCAGAATCCGCAGTCCGTTGCGGTTGGAGTCCAGTTCATCGGATCACATGCCTATTGAACGAGGCCAAACATCAAAGATGCCCAATACAACTCGATGTCCAATTGAGCCGGTGACCACAGTCACAACCAAAGGTGTGTGTATTTGTGGTTCGTACCCCTCCTCTTCGTCGTCGGTTTGAAATCAGGGGTTTTAGGCAAGTCCTCTAGGTAAACTGCCAGGCGTTCACCGATCCGGATTTTGGCTTTTCGTTCTCTTTGGTTGGGAAACACCTTCACCACGAGAAGGCAGGATGATTAGGGAGGGCTTCCTCAGCAGAGGTTATTTGATACGCTTGTTCCTGAAGGACCATTACACTAGGTGCAAAGGAATGGTGGTCAGCCACAACCCGAGACACCCACCCGCGAGATTATACTGTGGTTTTCGGAGGTGATTACTTTTCTAGAGGTCATCTCAAACTGACCAGTTATTATTTCGCATCCACTTTTTTCACTATCCGACTCCGAACTTCGGACAGTAGTAAACTAACGTCCATGATGAATACTGTGTCAGCCAGCATTTGTGTTTGTCTACAAAAGATGAGGGAGATAACCCACAGCAAAACGAGATTGTAACCGAAATACGAAATCGCCACTTCTGCTAGCACGCGGGCAGTATGAACCTCAAGGCGAAGAGAGAGAAAAAAGTCGAAAATGGGAGCTGCTTTCCTGGCATGATCAGGAATCCACTGTGCAGTGGGAAAACGAGATGTACCTGCTCTTCAATATCCATGCAATCTTTCCCATTCGAGTTGGTAGCTTCAAGTGTGCCCAGCGAGAACGCTGTGAGTCCGTCCCTGTTCGAACCATTCACTCCGGATGAACCGGTTACAGGTGGTCCCGGGATACGACACAGCTTGAAGTAACTGAACAACGGACCCAAAGCCACAGCCAACACACTCCAGTCTGCTTCGTCTGCGTTCAACCGACGACGCTGTCCGGTCACATCATCCCGTGCCAACTGACTGACCATTTGAAACACTTGTTCCAACAGATGAGGCGAGCTGACGAGGGGATCCAGACGCACCCAATCAGTTAGGTTCGATTTTGCAACTTGCAGGACTTCAATCAATGAGTGAAGCAGAGTGGCGACTGCACGACGCACGATACTGTCCGCACAGCTCATGCATGGTCGCAGAGCGGGTAATATCAATTCGCCCACAGCAATATCCAAATCGATCGTCAGGCTGGAAAAAAATGAAAGAACCGAAAAGCTTGTAAGTTTCCAGTAAAATATACGGTCATGAGACATTACTTTTGTTGAGGGGTACTTTCTGCGTCTTAGATACGCAAATTTCATTTCCACCTTTTCTAATCCAGCGTTGGATCATGTGTAAATCGACAAAAGCTCGGCAGTATTATACGGACCTTAAGAGCGGATTGCCTAAATGACGTTGCGGTGCCAAAACGCGGATAAAAATTAACAAAAACGACATGATTTTCTAGCGTATATTCAGTTTCTTGAACGAAAGCTAATACTGTGATAATTCCACAAGGTGATGACTGGACGAGGATAGTTGTTTATTATGAATAACGGTCAGGGTATTGGTAATTGGGTATTCATACAACAAAAGTTTCTCATTTGGAACGAGTCTTCAGAATTCCCCAGATGCACACAAGATAGTGCATGACACGGTCCAACACGAGATGCGCATTATTGTAGTTCCCATACTGAACAGCAGCAATTCGTTCCAACCGGTCTTGTTCGCTCGACATGAACTGTGTGACCTTCTCATTTGACCTGCACTAACCAGTTTGCTCGTAGCCTCTGAAAACCTCAGTATGATCGGGGTGTGGGGTGTGTCTAGGGTTGCGGCTGGTCACCCTTCTCTTGCACCTCACAAAATGCTCCCATAGGACCAAGCCTCTCAAATAGGTTTTGCTGAGGAAGCCCCACTTACTGCCTTCTTGTGGGGCAGAGGTGTTTTCCTACCAAAGTGAGAGGACGAAAGGTTAACATCCGGGGCTATAAATGGGTTGGTGGATCACTAGTAGTTCACCTGGTGGAGGTGGCCAAAAACCCTGATGTCAAGCTAACCATGAGCAGGCATACGAACCACATACACCTTCNGAAGGGTGGTGGATCTGATGAACGGGACACCGGCCTCAATGGATTGCGGTTTTCGAACACCGCTCCGCTGCCTTGCGGGTCAAGTTTTGGCTAGCTGAAGGCCCCGGTTGTGGATTTGTCAAGAAAATTTACCTGCCTTGGCCTGGGCAACATGGCAGTATTTAATTCACATGCAAATCATGGAACGTCTTTCTTTTTCTTAAAGAGTATTTCACCATGATTTGTTTGACACAGTCTGGCGTCAGACGTGTGATATATATATATATATATATCAAGAGAGACTGGAGGCGTACATCGAGTTGTAAAATGTTTATTGTAACGTTTCGATTCAAACTAGGACTCGTTG